TGGGCCAGCAAGCCAGTTGGGTTGAGACCATCCAACTATGCAAACATAGAAGACAAAGGAAATTCCAGAAATATTCCATCCTTCCTGGTCAAGTTTGACACCTTATCCCCAACCCAAAAAGTGACTTTACATCTTCAATTTTGTTTTTGAAAGACAGTAAATTATGTCATCTGCATAAAGTCTCCTGTCCAACATGACTCAACAGTAGGTCACATACCATTTCTGTTGTTGTTGTTATTTGGGAATTACACCGCATATTTTATATGTCAAGTGCCTTCCAATTATTTTTATTAGTCTACACACCACCAAACTAGCATCCTTAAGTATCTTGTTTCTATTTTATAGAAGAGACAAAGAGTCAAGTAATTTGCCTAAGGTCATATAGCAAGTTTCTTAGGATCACAAGTGAAAGAAAGGAGTTGTGAGATCTGGGAGACGCTGCTACATTAACTGGGATCCTAATTCTTCTCTAGCCCCCCACGCTACCCCAAGGCAAGTTGGGTAGTATGTGCATAAATCTTATTTTTTAATTCTAATCTTCCCCTGTATGATGGACCAGGTATGAAGAATAAGATATGCTTCCTTTTGCCACTCCTAAAAAAGAAACTCAATAATTTCTCTCATCTCTGCTAAAGGAATGACCTGGGTGGAATCTAGATCCTATGACTCTCTTATAACAATAAACCCTGAGTTATAGATAAAAGAAACCAGGATGGAAAACTGAGCCCCAAACATGATATAACTTTATTCTAGAACTCTCAAGTGCCTCTTTACACAATTCCTTTCTTCTAAACCTGAGCAAGTATGACCAAGACTAAGGAGTGACTCTGGTATTTATGACCAGAGACTATGCAGACAAATTGCCCCCTAGAATATGCCAACTTCCTGTGTCCAGTGGGATTCTCACAGTCACGAATGCACAGGTACACAAACATATTCAGGTCTACTAGAGCCCACTGGATAACAAGGCTGTGAGTTTACAAGCTCCTCATTTAAAATGCCTCTAGAATGGGTGTTCAGAGATAGCTACAGAAGAAGGTTAAGAAATGCAGGAAGAGGAAGACGGGACCTTTCCTGAACTAAATTGCTTTTCCCTAACTTCAGAGTACCTAAGAATCTTAGTTTCTTGGCAAACTTGCTTGACACATTGCTCATGGCAGGCATGGCCATACAGGTGTGCTCTGGGTTTTAGGCCAAGGACTAAGCACCTCCTTCCTCCAGAAACTACTCCAGAGAGAGAAAAAAATATTGGCAGCAACTTCGTACACTAGATCTAAGAAATGGTGAAACCCTTTCCCCTGCATGCACCCTGCTCTGTGCCAATACAGATGCTTTATGGGGATTAGAAAGACTTGGAGGGTGGATGGCAGGGGAGGAAGGATTCTTTGTAGATGGTAGCAAGGAGGTAGAAAACAACAGAGGCAACTTTCCCATTCTGGGCTAAGCCCACACTATAGACATGTATTTTTCCACACTGTAGAATAATCCTTTATCCAGCCAGTCTAGAATCATCAGTCCCTGATCGCTGATTTTGGACTTTGGATGGAAATTTTGAATGGTGTGGATTTTTGGAAAATGGAAGGGAGGATGCAGGGGGAAAGCCCATAAAAAGGAAGGTGAGGTGTGTGTGGGGGAGGGGGGGGTGGTTAACAAAGAAAAGGAAACTAAGACTTCAGACACAGAAGGCAGACCCTAATACTGCCAGGTAACAAGCCGAGACAGCTTCCCCAACAGAGTCTTGGAAGAGAATGGTCATTGTAGGTTCTGGTCCTGGCCTTATGACCCTGGGCAAGTACACAACCTCTAAATTCCATCCTAGCTCTGACCAGTCCTAGCTTCCTTCCTTCCTGCTCTGGTAAGTCATTTCATTCATGCACATACTTATTGAGCACTATTTGTTCTGGGCTGGGGTAGGATGCAAATCTCTTCTACGAAGGGCAAAGTATTTTAAAGTGTAAATATTTTGGGGGCCACACAGACTATGTCACAGCTACACAACTCTGCCATTATAGCACAAAAACAGCCATAGGCAACATATACATAAATGAACACTGCTATGTTCCAATTAAACTTTACTTATGGATACTGAAATGTGAGTTTCATACAATTTTTATGTAAAATATTATTCTTTTGACTTTTTTCCTATCATATATAATAAAGAGGTAATATGCAAAATAGCCCTCACACCCTCACAAGATGGCTGCCTATGACCAGGTCAGCAGGGGAGTTAAGTGAGGAACGACCAAACTACTGAACAGCAGGCTGCGTGGGGCAACCAGGCTGGCAGGGGAGGGGGGGGGCAGTTAGGGGCGACCTGGCCGGCAGCAGGGGGCAGTTAAGGGCAACCAGGCCAGCGGGGGGTGGGGGGTAAGGGGCAGTTAGGGGCAATCAGGCTGGCACGCAGAGGCAGTAGGGGCAATCAGGCAGGCAGGCAGTTGAGCGGTTAGGAGCCAGCGGTACAGAATTGTGAGAGGGATGTCCGAATGCCGGTTTAGGCCCACTCTCCGGGATTGGACCTTAACTGGCAGTCGGACATCCTCCAAGGGGTTCCAGGTTGGAGAGGGTGCAGGCTGGGCTGAGGGGACCTCCTCCACTCTGTGCACGAATTTTGTGCATCGGGCCTCTAGTGTAAAGTTATAAAAACCATTCTTAGCTCACAGGCCATAGAAAAACGGACAGGAAGTAGGATTTGGCCCATGAACCAGTTTGCCAACTCCTGCTCTAGAGATACAGTGGTGAACAAGAGAGGGCCTCCACATTCTATGGCTCTGTGACTACCATTCTAGAGGTCTCGTCTGGCTTTGGAATGGCCCTGTGAATGTAGGCCGTGCTTCATTTTATTGCACAATGGTGTAGGCTGGCCTTCTGTTCCTTTGCAACCTCATATAACTATCATGTCCTAACCATTTGTGGCCCCCTTGGTTGTGCCAGGGGCTCCTCATAGACAATGAGGTCTCAGGTTTATAGGAAAGGTTTGGGTTAAGAGTCAGAATGAGGTGAATGAGAGGGATCAGCAGAAGAAATCTGTGTGTGGTGAGGAAAGCCGTAACAAAAGAATCAGTAATTGTTCCTCCCAACAATTCAGAAAAGGCAAAAAGAAAAGATTAAATAAGATTTCACCATTATTTGTATGTGTTGGGTAAGTGGGTGGTGAAAGTTGATAGAAAGGGAATGAATAACACTCAACTATGGAGACTCTTAAAAGTCATACTGTATCACACCAGCCTTCCTCCAAGACCCCTTCCAGAATCTAGCTGAGATCCCTCTCCAGAGAACGCTAACCAAAGAAAACTGTTATATACATGTATCTAATGAACTCTGATAGGGGCACCATTTCTGGTAAGCTCAACCATAACTGACTGAGACCCCTATTGGTGTTTGCAGATACTGAGGCAGGTTCTGTAGCATCACCCAGAGGCCTATGATACACACCCAAATATGCCCTTTCTAAAAAGGATACCAGGTCTCGAGGACCACATGAAGGGAACCTATAGGGTTTTTAGAGCACTGCTGAAGGCAACAAGGACCATACAAACCCTAAAGGGCTCACTGCTTCATTTGTATTCCATTAAGACTCTTCTAACTTATATCTTTAACCAGAAAGTCCTTAGAATCACGAAAGTATAGACTGAGGGAACTAGACCTGACCTTGGAGGTTATCCAGGTCAACTCCTTCATTTGATACAGACACTGAGCCACAGAATGGTTAAGTGGCTTGTCCAAAATCACAAAGTTTGTAGTGTCAATGACCAAGTCCTGCTTCACTAAATTACAATACCTTAACTCTGTACCCATTCTGAGAAAAAAAACCAGAAAGACAAGAAACAAATAATAAAGAGCTAACAGCCTAGCCAGTGTGGCTCAGCAGATGAGCATCAACTTATTAATCAGGAGGTCACAGTTCAAATACAAGTCAGGGCACATGACTGGGCTGTGGACTTGATCCCATTAGGGGCATGCAGGAGGCTGCTGATCAACGATTCACTCTCATCATTGATGTTTCCATCTTTCTCCCTCTCCCTTCCTCTTTGAAAGCAATCTATAATAATAAAAACATAATATGCTAATTAGACTAGACGTCCTTCCGGACGAAGCCAGGGCTGCAAGAGAAAGCCTGGGTCCGGGTGCCTACTGGCAGCCAGAAGGAAGCCAGGGTCCCAGTTGCTGGAGGGAAGCTGGTGCTAGCAGCCATGGGAAGGAAGGCCTCCTCTTGCATGAATTTCGTGCATCGAGCCTCTAGTACAGCAGTAATCAACCTGTGGGTCGAGACCCCTTTGGGAGTTGAACAACCCTTTCAAAGGGGTCGCCTAAATACATCCTGCATATCAGATATTTACATTACGATTCATAACAGTAGCAAAATTACAGTTATGAAGTAGCAACAAAAATAATTTTATGGTTGGGGGTCACCACAACATGAGGAACTGTATTAAAGAGTCGCAGCATTAGGAAGGTTGAGAACCACTGCTCTAGTAAAATATATTTTTTTAAGAAAAGTTAACAATCAGTAATGCTTATTGCATTCTCTGAGACAATCTTCACAACCACCTTATCAAGTACATACTATTATTTTGCCATTCTGCAGCTGAGGAAACTGAGGTTTTACAAAAGTGAAGAGACTTGCTCAGGTCACAGAGCCAGCGAGTAGTAGGGAATGGGCTATGAACATGGGCACCTGGTTCTGAGAACCTGCACCCTTACCTGCATATCATAATCTGAATCCCACACCTCTGTCTTGCCTGATAACTACAGCAGGGAAGAGGGGTGATAATGTCATCACCAGTAGATTCCTACACAACTGTCCTCCTATGGTTCATTAGGCCCCTTGGTGCCAAACCAGCAGTACTGGCTCCCTGCTATACCACAGCACAAAAGCCCCCCACCCTGCTCTCCCTGTAACTGCTTAACAGACAGAGAATTCCCTATCCCAGCTTTTAGGAGAAACAAGAATACTGTGTCTTTTCCCTCCCACAGACCGATGGCAGAAGGCCAGGACTCACCTGAGGCAAGTCCGTCTCCAAGGAGGGTGCTAAGGATCACCAGCGGAAGAAACACTCCATGTCCCACAGAGGCCACGGCAGACGCTGAGGTGCTCTTTGGTGCTATCCTGCCATGGCACATCTTTTATCCGTCCAAGTTATTTTAAAAAGAAAAAAATTAAAAGCCAGAAGAATTCTAAAGTCAGCCAGGTGTAGATTCACCTATAGAAAACAAACAAAAAACAGACATAAGTGAAGTGAAAACTTTACCCATACGTTTACAAGTAGGCACTTTACTCTAAAGAAACCATAATCATGTACAAAGTTGAACGATTTCTAGCAACTGAATTCCTGCTTTCAGAAGAGACAAGCACATAAGTAGCTTTTCAACTCCTTCCTGGAGAAATATCAGGGCCTGCAGCAAGCTGCCATCAGCGTCAGCATCTAGGAGCCAGATCCTTACGATAGGACAAGGAGACAAGCACGGGCTCACCTGGAGATCTCTGGGTCACAGAAAGGTTTCAGAGACTGCCCTGGCTCTGCTTGGCTGCCTGCCTCGGAGGCTCCAGCACAGAGTCAGAGAGAGGCAGCAGTTGACAAAGAGCTGCTATACCAGAGTGTGGCTTTGCCTTTGCCACCTGCCCTCAGAGGAAATTCAACTTAACCGAAAGAGAGAGAGAGAACACGTGTCTTAAAGGGAGAACTACACCGCCTAGAGAAGGAATGCAGCAGTGGCAGCCAAAGGCCCCTCGCTTGGCCTGCTCAACTGCCTGAGGCTGGATGAGCCCTAGGATCTGACTCTGACTTAACAGCTCAGGCAACACACCTGTGAACCCAGAGGCCATACTTGTTGGCTATACCTAATAGAGTGGGGGAGGATGGCTACAATTGTTAATTAGCCCCACCATCCATTCTAGTTCAAAGACTTCATAAAAGTAGGAATCAGTATTTTTTTTAAAAAAAAAATCAGGGTTCAAGACTTTTTTTTTTTTTTAATCCTCGTTGGAGGATATTTTTCCTATTGATTTTTAGAAAAAGTGGGAAGGGGTAGGGGGAGAGAGGAGAGAGAGACAGAGAGAAACATCAATGGAGAGAGCCACATCAATTGGTTGCCTACCGAACATGCCCCAACGAGGGGGGGGAACCTGAAACCCAGGTATGTGCCCTTAACCGGAATCAAACCTGCAATCCTTCAGTTCCCAGGCTGACAGTCTAACCACTGAGCCATGACAGCCAGGGTAGGGGTCAAGACTTTTAAGAAAGCTTTTCTACATGCCTTCAGGGAAGCAGTTGGGTTGATGATACATTATGATATGGATCTTATATTTTACTTAACTCATTTGATTTTATTTATCCTAGTTTATAACAGGTATTTCAAAAATAAGATTACACTTCTTTTTCAATTTTAATTCCATACACACCTCCATCTCCATTAAAAAGACCTTATGTAAATAGACAGGGGAGCCTGCCATCTACAACCCTAATAAAGGATGCCCCTGAGACTGTCAGGGATATTGTCAGACCTGACTTCAATCCATATCTTGTAGCCTTGATTCAGTCCTATGCTCCCCTTATAAAAAGCTACTGCAGCCCTAGCTGGGTGGCTCACTTGTTTGGCATATCATCCTGTACATCAAAAGGCTGGGGTTCAATTCCTGGTGAAGCACATACCTAGGCTGCAGCTGGGTCACATTAAGGGAGACAACCAATCAATGTTTCTCACATCTATGTTTCCCTCTCGCTCACTCCTGCTCTCCCCCTTCCTCTCTAAACATATTCTCGGGTAAGGATTTTTTTAAAAAGAGTGTTACTGCAAACAGCAAACAGGAATGAGCTGTCTCAGTCCAAAGAAAAAGCATCTGTCACAGTCCTCAATGAGTAAGACGCAGGGGTCCAAGAACAGAGTTAAACACTGGGTCCTCACCCACTACCCACAAATATTTGTAACTGTAGTCATCTGTCCCCAGTTTTTACCCAGATTCCAACTTGAGCCTTTACAGTTGTAGAACAGGATGGTTCATGAGAGTTCTAGGGGTAGAGTCTGTGAGTGACCCGAAACAGTACACAAAACTGTGGGTATGTAAATGTGTGGAATATGTATACATTTATGTGGCTAAAAACCATAGAGTCAGAATGCCAGAATTCAAATATTGCTTCTATTATGGCCAAATTACTCTCTCAAGCCTTAGTGTTCTCTTCTGTAAAATAGAGACAGTAACCATACTGTCTTCATAGGGTTGATATAAGGATTAGGATTAGTCCAAGTATTTGACACAGTGCCTGAACTTTTCAAGTCCTCAGTAAACACTGCCAGCTGTTGATACCGTAATAATAAGATCTGAGCCGTGGGACCTTGGAGGTTATCAGCCTTCACTTCCTCATTTGACAGATACCAAACCAAGATCCAAAGAGGTTAAAGGACATGCCTAGGGCCACCAGCCAGTTAGCAATGGGCCCTCTGGTGCTGCTGTTTTACATACAGCCATAGCAGGTGACCCTACCAGGCAGTCACCTCTCCCTTAAAGGAACAACCAGTGGATCATCAGGAATGACACCTGAGAATGACATCACAGCATGCACACAACAAATAATTCTGCAGTGAATGGACGAGGCTGGATCAGAGTGATGTTTAGATGTTCTGTGCAAGAGAGGAGGTGCTGCTAGGTTCACTGCAAAAGGATGTGTCCAATGAAAAAGACGGGGGGGGGAAGGAGATACCAAATACAAGCGGATCAAAGCAATGGGAGCACAGCACTCCTGGCAGAGGCTAGAGGCAGAGGAGAGTATAAGGCGTTTAAACTGTACCCTGAAACCATGTGGAGCTTATGAGGATTAGAAAAAGGGAAGTTATAACACCAGATTCATTTAGAAAGCTCACTCTGGCAGGGATTTTAGAGTACTGGGGAGAAGAAGATGCTAAGTGGTATAAATTTAGTATTTTATAATTAATGTAAAACTCCTTGGACAATCTGTGAAAATACACGTAATTCTACTTCTACTTCTAGAATCTTTCCTCAGAAATCATATGTGTGCAATGACATATATGCAGGATATTCACTGCATTATTTGTACTGGCAAAAGACTGAAGGGAAACTAGTTAAATAAGTTGCCATACACTAGAATACTATGCAGTAGTTTAAAAAGAACTGGGAAGTTCAGTCTGTAGTAGTATGGAATGACTTCCAAAATTAGTATGTGAAGAAAACCATTTATGTGTATGAGTGTATTTTTAAAGCACACACACACACACCCCTATATGCACTGAAAATCTCTCTGGTATAATGCACAAGAAAATGCACATCTCCTTAAGTGTTGTATCTTGTGCATGCATTACCTATTCAAACAGATAAAATATAAATAAAATTAATGTAGCAAGGCTGTCCTGTAGACCACCTGTTTCCTTCCTCAACAAATTGACATTCAAATAAACCTGATTGCTCCCTCCGCCAGGAATACAGTCACTGTCAGGGCTCAGCAAAGACCATCTTCCTACTCCCTTCAGCAGAACTAACCCCCTTCTTACTCCCAAAGCGCCACTCTGATTGGACTCATCCATTCACTACAGAAATATGTGTTGTGTGTATATGTTGTGACACAAGCAGGTGTTATTCTTGATGATCCACTGGTTGTTGCCTTAAGGAAACGGTGACTACCTGGTAGGGTTACTTGCTGTGGCTGCATGTGGAGAAGCCAGTATAACTTGGGGGAAAGATGTACACTTATGAGCTCCTTTTTTATTTTGTTCTGTTTCAAAGAAACAGCTGGCTCCTTTCTTATTGCCAAGGGACCAATTCCACCACAAAGACTAAGACCTGATCAAGTGCACAACAGATGGGATGATGAAAATGGGGCTTTGCAAAAAAGAGAGAGAAAGAGAGAAAAGATGAATGGAGGGCAGTCAATGGAGTATTTTTACATGCAAGTCTGAGCCAAGGGTCAGTGCTTCAGAAATAATACAGAGAAAAACGAATCCCCACAACAGGAGAATCCAGCTACTGTGGAGAAAGGGTCACAATATACACCTAATAATTTAAAGAAAGACTCTGTATTGAACACAGGAAGGAAGGGAAGGAGGAAGGAGAGGCCAGGAGGGAGGGAGGCAGGCAGCAGGCAGTCCTGTCCTTGAATTGTGGCTTTACACCAAATCAAAAGAAAAACACTTCAGAACAAATTAAGGCTAAGTATTCATTATCCCTAGAAAAACACATAGGCAAAAACTTAAGAAAAATAAGAGAAAACATTTTACTTCAGTATTCCTTTGGCATGTTAGTGGCCACTTCCCCTAATTAAAAAAAAAAAAGTATAATTAAGTAGAAACAGAAAATAGAAGAGTGGTTATCAGGAGGGTGGAATAGGAAGTTATATTGTTTAAAGGGTACAGAATTTCAGTTTTGCAAGATGAAAAGAGTTATGAAAATGGATGGTGGTGATAGTCGCACAACATTATTACTGTACTTATACCACTGAACTAGACACTTGAAAATGACTGACGGTCAATTTTACTTTATATATATTTTACCAGTTTAAAAAAAATGGAAGAAATTAGGATTAATGAGGGACCTGGAACTCAGCTTCATTTTCAAAGTCTGCACTCACCCACCCTAACAAGGCATATAACATCTAAACTTAAGAGGTGAGAAGAGAGAGGAGGGTCTGGGGCTACAGTTAGTTCCACCTCTGCCACCAACTAGATGGCTGGTCATATCTCTGGCTTCCATTTCCACATCTCAAAAAGGGTCTAAGTTCTCTCTCAGCCACAGAATTCTACATGGCACCCAAAATTCTCTTTATAGAAGCCATCTCTTCCTCCAACAGCCAGTTTTTCCCTCCAAAACAAAGGGTGAGGAGTCATGGGAAATCTGCATTCACCCTTATTTTCTTTCTTGGAACTAGAGCTGCTGTCCCAATAGAATGTGGCAAAGGGAGACCCCATGAGCTAGATTGTCAGCCCCTTAAGGGCAGGGTCTGGCCTTTCCCAGCTCTATGAACCCAGGACATCAAAACCTAGGTGACTGTGCTCTCCTGAATGTGATGTCATTAACACTCATTTCCTGTCCACAATGACCCTCCAAGAGGAAGAACACTGCCCTTAAGCCACAGCCCTGATCTTGGGGAAGCCACTTACCTAATTTCTGCCTATGTTTTCTCATCTGTAAATTGGGGGCTGTTCCTTGCTTTGAATATCTCTCTGGTCTCTAGTAAGGCTCCAAGAGACACAATATGAGGGACTACTCTATAAACTGAAAAAGA